AGACTCACATATTTCCCGTCGAGCGCTGCAACAAGCACCCTCCTTTTCCTTCTCCCCCACTCGTCCGCTTTCCTCCTCCGCCTCCCCCGCTTCCAACCTCACCGCCCCCCCCCCTCCAGACGCCATACCTCTCTCAGATTTTCGTATCTGCTCTGGCCGCAAGCACGACCGAATCTGGGCGCGTGCTTCTATCGACTCCCTCACTTCCACTTTTAACGAGTCAGGCCACAAACGAGGCGGGAGCACAGGGAGGGAGAGGGCACGGGAAGGGTGTGGGGCAAGGGAGGGGTGGAGGGAGGAGAGCGGGGGGGCGGTTAAAGGGAAGGGCACAGCGGGTTCAATGAGGCGACAGGAGGCAGGTGGTATGAGACCAGGAGGGGGAGCAGCAGCGGGAGAAGCAGCAGGAGAGATGAGTTGGAGTTGGGGGGGAGGGCGAGTGGATGACAATGAAAATCAATTCTTGGCGAAAGGCGGAACGCTTCCATGCTCGTCCTCGTCTTCATCCCCCTCCTCCCTCCTCTCCTTTGCCCGTCTCTCTGCCACTCATCCGCGCACTAAGCATAGATCAGGCTCGTCGGGTTTCTCTGCGGATTTCCAGTTTCAGGTGGCGAGGGCAGTGCGGGAGGTTGGTGATGTTGCACATACAGGTAAGGGGAAAGCCCGTGCTGCTTCCAATGCTGCTTCTTCCGCTGCCGCCGCTGCGTCTGCTGCTAGTGCTGGTGGTGGTGGTGGTGGTGGTGCTGCTGCTGCTGGTGCTGGTGGTCCTCCCCCTCCCGGTCCTTCCCCCAAGCCTCGCCACACGCGCCACCGGCCAGGATTTGGCAGCTTCGGCAGCAGCTTCGTTAGCAGCTTCGGCAGCGGGTTTGGGAGCAGCTTTGATGCTGCAGCAGGGGAAGGAAGGGGAGTTGTAGGAGGGGGGAAGGGAAGCCCTTATTCCGACAGGGGTTCAAGCAGCCTCAGAAGCAGCCCTGTCTACTCTGCTGCATCCACTGCTGCGACGTCTGCCGCTGCTTCTGCTGCTGCCGGTGGCGTTTTTGCCGATGCTCTTTCTGCCGTCTATTGCTCTTCCTCGTCCTCCTCCTCTTCCTCCTCCACCTCCTCCACCTCCTCCTCCTCTGCTTCTCTGAGGTGGCGTTTCAGCAGTGGAAGGCACAGGCGAACAGGCAGTGCCAGCAGCCCGCTCTCTCTCCTCTCCCCGTCCTCAACCTCCTCCTCCCCCAGTCCCCTCTTTGCCCCTACAGCCGCTTCAGAATACAATCTGGACAGCCAAAGAAGTTGCGGAATAGGGGGGGCAGTCGGAGCAGTAGCGGATACAGGAGCAGCAGGGGGGGGAGCAGGAGGCGCGGCAGGGCGAGCAGGAGGAGGCGGAGGGAGTGGAGGGGCAGGAGGGTCGTCTGCAGCAGACAGGAGTCCGTTTCTTAGTCCGGACGAGCGGAGGTCTGGGCGTAGGCACTGCCGAACGGGCTCTTGGGCTGGAAGCAGCTTTTCTGCAACTGGCTTTGATGCCACTGCTGCTGGCGGTGGTGCTGGTGGTGGTGGTGGTGGTGCAGGTGGGTTGGATGTGAGTGTGAGGGGGATTGACCTGATCCGAGGCAATGGCAGCGCTGTTGCTGGTGTCGTTTCTGCTGGTACTGGCAGCGGCGCCAGAAGCAGTGTCCGTGGTGGCAGTATGCGTGAAGGAGGAGATGTAGGAGAAGGAGGAGGACGAGGAGGAAGAGAAGGAGGGAGAGGAGGAGGGGCAGGAGCGGGGCGATGGAGAGGAGTGGCGAGTTCGAGCCCCTTATCTCCAGCCTCGGCTCGTTTCTTCTTCCCCAAACCATCCAACAGTAGCCCTAGCAGGGCAGAGGATGGCAGTGGCATTGAGCCCAGTAGCAGCAGTGGTAGGTCATTCCGGTCTGTCCGATCGCCAACGCTTGAAAGGATTTTCGGGCAGAGAAGGCATCGGAGGGCAGAGTCAGCAGGAAAAGAGCTTGGGAGGGGTTTGACACAGGAAGATGAGGAGAGAGCGAGACGTTTGAAAGAAAGACCAGGAAAGGCTGATTTTCAAACCCCAACTGCTTCTCCGGCTGCTGCGGCTTCTGCAACTTGTGGTAGCGCTGCTGCTGATGGGTGCAGCTATGTTGAGCTGTCTCCATCATTACACACCTCAGAGGCACTGCTGCATGGTGGGCTGAGGGCCACACGCACACCCATGGAACGACTGACACTGCTCATGCCCTCGGGGAGAGAAGAGCCGGCAGGGAGAACGGGCAACATCGGTCATTGCAACTCCACCGCTGCATGCTCTGTCTATGCTGACACAAACCCTGCTGCAGCGGACAGCAGTGGGGCTTCCGTACCCGCTGTGTATCCTCCTGGATTTCCGGGAGCAACAGGTGGAGGGTTGGAAGGGCATGTGGGAAGCCTGTTGGATGGTGTGTGTACGGCATGCGAGTCTGACGCCTCCTCGCCTTCCTCCTGGTCCCTCTCCTCCTTCCAAGGCAGTGTTGCCAGCAGCCTTTGCAGCAGCAGCAGCAACAACTTGCCTGTTTTGGCAGCAGCGGCGGCAGCGGGTAGTGGGAGCCGCACCAGTGCTGGCTGGGCTGATGTTGCCAGTGCTGCCAGTGCTGTTGCTGCTGCTGGTGCTGCTAGTGGCGGTGATGCTGCTGGTGCTGTCATGGAGGATCGTGATAGTGCTGAGCAGCCAATTCAGCTTCAACAGCTGCCATCTCAGCGACAGCAGCAGCAGCAGCAGCAGCAGCAGCAGCAGCAGCAGGCAGTGTCGCTGCTGCAGCGCAGGAGGCAGCAGCACCATCCGTCTCTCACTCTCTCGCCCACGCATGTCAAGGGAAGGACAGTCACGGCTCCTCCCGCTGCCAATGCTGCTGCTGCTCCTGGGGGGCTAGCGCCGGGCCGACAGAACACTTTAGTGGGAGGAAAGCCGGGGGCAGAGGAGCCTGATTACCGTTTCTCCTGTGCTGCTGCTTCTGCCCATGGTGCCAGTGCTGCTGCTGCTGCTTGTGGTGCAGAAGCTGTGGTTGTTGAGTGTGGCATGGGCAGCAAGGGACTAGTAGCGAGGCGCCTGGAGGGGGAGGTGAGGGAAGGGAGGGTGAGCGAGGAGAGGCGCACCAGTGTGACAGTGCAGGAAGGGGAGGAGGAGCAGAACGGTGGCATGCACAAGGGAGAACATGGGGTAGTGTGTGGTAAAGCAGAACGGGATGCTTTCATACCACCTCATAGTTTTTCCTCCACACCAACCGCCGTACCCACTCCATTTCTCTCCCCGTATTCCTCCGCACCTCCTTCCCCGCGCGGTTCTCTCTCCCCCTGCGCTACCCATTCATCCTCCCGCTCCTATGTCACCCACCTCCGCTCCTCCGCTCCCCCTCGGCCCTCCCACCGCTCCAGCCCTTTCTCTCCCTCCTCCACCTCCTCCTCCTCCCCTTCCTCTGCTTTCAACGCGTCAGGCATCACTCGCACCGCCTCCCTTCCCGACTTACTCGCCCCGTTCTCTACCTCCACCTCATCTCTGCCTGCACTGCAACTCACCCCAGCAGCAGCAGCAGCAGCAGCAGCAGTGCCAGTGGCAGCAGTGCGTGCTGCTGGTCCAGTGGGGTTTCAAGTGTGTGCGCCCATCAGCCCCTCTGCCAGACGCCCCCCCACGGGCTTGTCCCCTCGCCAGCCTATCGCGCACCCGCTCGCAACTCCCACTACTCCTAATGAATTGGCTGTTAACGAGTATGGCACTGTAGCAGCCAGTGCTGCAGCTGAGTTCGCCCCTCTCCCTGCTCTCCCTGCTCCCCCTGTGAGTCTGCCCCCGCCGCTCACAGCCCCCCCTAGAAGACAAGGGTCCAGGCGAATAGTATCATTCCATGCAGTGGTCAAGGTGTATGAGTTTACAGAAGCGGAGGATGAGGAGGATGGTACTGAGGAGGAAGACCAGCTTTGGCCCAAGGCCAGGTATTTATAGTGGTGGCCGACTGGAGATTTTATCCGCGTGCCCATCTATGTAGCATGATTTGACTCCCCATGTCGATACTGTAGTCTGCTTATTGCCACGAGGTAATAGTAGTAGTGATTTCCTTTTGGCAATTATTGTTTGGAAATTACAATCCGTCTGCTATGGTCGTATTGTACGTATGTGAATACTGTAGATTATATTGTGCATGGATGCCTTTCACTTCAGGTGCTCTGTGGAAAGAAAATTAAATAGAGAGTCATCATTCTTAAAAACAAAATACAGGACGGTAGCTGATTTTCATATGCAGAAATTATATGTTTTATGAGAAACACTATGAGGTCAACCAGAACAGATCCACAAGGGCACGAAGGGGGGAAGGTTAGGGGAGTACACTTTACACATGCTTCGAAGGGAAGATGTACAGTGTTCTAGTACGGTAAGTTTTGGATATACGAGAGCATCAGATTATGTACAAAAGGAGACAAAAACAACACCGTTCTCAGTGCATCATCTACACGTGCCCCTCTACTGAATGAATACCTATGTTGCCATTCCAAAACCTACCCTACTCCTATCATCCTGCAATCGATTGTCCTAGTCTTGCTCTTCCTTTCTCCTCCTACTCACACAGCAATCCCCACACAAAGCAAGTACTGTACTTCGGCATGCATCTTATGCCCGTTGCCCACCAACCAACCCCCTTGTCCTGCACCATACCCCACTTCCACCCTAACCTACTCACTCACCTCCTCCATCCCACCCCACACACCCCCCGTCCCAGCAGCAGCTACTGCTTCAGCAAAGAGTTTCCTTTTGCCCCCTCAAAGCAATGTCTCCTCACCAGCCCCACCCATCCCCTGTTCACCTCCATTCCCGCCCCGTACCAGCAGCAGGTGCACACCCTCATGCTCAGCAGCAACCAACAGCACCTTGCGCACGGAGATCATGCCCAGCAGCATTGCGGCAAGCAAGCAAGCAAGCAAGCAAGCAGCTGGTACTTGGGCACCGAGCTCATGGTCAGAAGCAGCGGCGGCGGCGGCGGCAGCAGCAGCAGCAGCAACTAGTACTTGGGAACAGAGGTCATGTCAACAGCCTCATAGTTCTTCCCCAGCACTTGGTGCAGCGAGTGCAGGTCGTCGTTGTCCCACTGGGCGTGTGGTGCACCGGAGATGAACCAGGGCGACCCATTGTCCGCCAGCATCATGCCGTACGTCTTGAGTGCCTGTAGGATCACTCGTGTCTGCTTTGGGAAGCCGGAGATGTTGAAACTCTGGTGGAAGGGAGTGGTGTGAGGGACAGGAAAGGGTTGGGGAAGGGGGTGGGGTTGACTGATCGGTAGCTGGGGAATGGTTGAACATCGGTATGCTGAGAACGGTGAGAGGGGATGGGCGAGTGGGACGTATGCATGTGCATGCACCGGCATGTATGTGTGTGCCCACGCTCGCAAGGTAACACGCCCATGCACACGACTATGCATGTGTGAATGGGAGCGTGTGTGCACGCGTCTGCATGCACACGCACATGTGTTGTGTGCAGGTAGCTGCATAAAGAGACGCGCAGGCAAGACGGACTGGAACAAGGGGCAGAAAAAGGGGGCGCATGGGGGGGGAATGAAAGGGGCACGGAGTGACAGGTGAGTAGGTCAGGAGAGACCTTTTTGAGGCGCAGGCGGAGGCCCATGGGGGGCAGGTTGGGGTTGGTGGAGTCACTGGCGTAATGGCGTGCAGGCCACACATACTTCTTCTGCGTCACTTCTGCTGTGAAGCGCAGCGCGTGCTTGATCGCCCCCGCTGCCACCTCACCATAGCGCGCCAAGCCAGGCAGCATCTGCAGGCAGGAGGTGCCAAGGGGATGCCGCATGTGCCAGGCAGGAGGGGGAGAATGCCGCATGTGCCAGGCAGGAGGGGGAGAATGCCGCATGTGCCAGGCAGGAGGAGGAGGGAGCAAGAGAGGGAAGGGAAGAGGGTGGTACGCATTTCGTAATCCTTGGTGTGTCACAGAAGCAAAGCGTCAGCCATGGCCCTCCACACACACACTCCCCACTCATTCAACCCAACACACCCAGCACTCCCTGCCCATTCTATCAAAGCAACCCACCGTTCCCCACCCACACTCCCATTCTCAGCCCAGCAGTCTCACCGGCAGCCCAGCAGCATCAGCGGAGGTCCATCCAGCGGGCCTGAGCTTGTTGGACGTCAAATTCCAAATGGCTCCGCTGCCCGCCGACACTGCTCGTGGTGCCCGGGAGGTGTGTGGCAGGGGGGTGCATGGGAGGGATCACGAGGAGCAGCGGGCAATGGGAGGTGACTTGGGGAGCTGGATCGTTGTCGGGCTTTTTGGTGGATACACACACTTGCCGGCAAGACAAAGAAAGGGAGGGTGTTGGTGGATGTGGGAGGTTCACAAGGTTGCAGGACAGGATAGCACAGCGCAGCACCATACAGCACCATGCAGCACTACGCAGCAACAATTCCCTTCCCAGGTCTCACCGCGGCCAGCGCCATCCATGGAGAAGTCGAAGATCTCATACAGCAGAGCGCACACACATCTCGATCCACGCCCAGCACGTGGTGGTCTGGCCCCCTCTCCTCTCCTCTCTCTGCCTGCCCAGCATCCCCCCACTTCGCTTGACCCCTATCCTTTCCACTCTCTCTCCCCCTTCATTCCTTCCCTCGAATTTCCACTCCCCCCACAGGCTCACCGCGGCCGCTGCCATCCATGGAGAAGTCGAAGATCTCATAGAGCACACACGCGTCGCGGTCCACAGCCAGCACGTGGTGGTCCGACCCCCACTCCACCGCCACGCCGCGCCGCGCCACGGGGTACGGCCCGCGCTCGCTCTCATCGCCGTAGTAGAACGCCGGGAACACACGCCGCGTGCTCTTTGTGACTATGTTCACCGGGATCCCAATCGGCCTGCCGTCCCACTGGCCTGCACAGCGAGCAGGTGGGGGGAGAGGAGAACGAGGGATGCGGAATCACCTCCTCCGTGAGCAGTGAGCACTGCTCCCGTACCTCCCTGGAAGGGAGTGGGCAATCATCGGAACCGAACCGCATGCACAGCGCAAGGCCAAGTGGCACTTGCGCCCGCACTCCAAGGCTTCTGAATCTCACAGCGACTTGGGCCGTTGAAATAAGGGAGCAGGGTAGAGGTGGTATATCTACAGCCCGGTGCATTTTCTGTCCGCGACCTCCCTTGCTTATGCTGGAAAGGTTCTTCGAACAACTCTCAGAGCTTACTGGTACCTGGTAGTACTGAGTACTACCGAGTACTACCTGGTGGTACTGAGTACTACCTGGTGGTACCGAGTACTACCTGGTGGTACCGAGTACTACCTGGTGGTACCGAGTACTACCTGGTGGTACCGACTGGTACCTGAGCCGAAGTCCGGGTGGGTGTACTCGTTGAGGCCGATGGCGCGCACGTAGGCGGCGGAGCGCGGATGCACAGGAAGCCGGTCCACGCGTATGTTCCACGCGTTGTTGCTCGGGAACACCGCGCAGCGCCCCACTTGTGGCACGGCCTCCGCGAAGCGCGGACCGGTGGCGGCGGAGAAGGGGAGGAGAGGGAGGGAGAGGGAGAGGAGGAGAGAGGTGAGACGCGCGACGACGACAGCCTGGACGCGCGGATTTTTCTTCATTGCAAGAACGAGAACCACGGTTGCAAGGGTCGAGTATTCGGATTAGATAACAATTCAAAGTTTCTTTCCAGAACTCGCGTGGCTCAAGGGATCATTCTTCTGGTGCACTAGATGTTTCATCACTAAGCGATGGAACGACAAAGAAACGAGCTCAAATAGAGTGCGCTGCACTGGTGTCTGGACTCTGGACTGGACAAGTAGGCTACATGCAAGGCACGACGATGGGGTCGAAGAAGCAAGATTGATGTGCGCTCAAGCCACGAGATGCACGGCACGGCACCGCTTGCCTCGATTCCTCCTGACAAGCTGAATTGAAGGCAGCCGTCTCGCCAATCGCTGGTGTGGGCGAGGCACCGCTGTGCAGGGAGTAGGCGGGGCAACTGCGCGAAGGGTTCTTTCTGAGGGGAACGAGGGGGTGGGGCAGGGCGGGTTGGGGTGGGATGGTGTTTCTGCCACTTTCCGTTTAGTGAAAGCGGTTGAGTACGATGTTGCGCACTCTGAAGTGGTGTTTTAATCCCTGAAGCAAAAACTGGTGTTTTTGCTGTTCAGTCCAATTTATACCATACGGTATTTTTTTGCAACATACGGTAATATAAATGTCAGGGGGTCGTATACAATTTTGCCATCACTGTTCACCCCCCAAGCCGTTTTTCTAACATTTGAGTAAAATTCCGAGGTCTTTCAGCCGGGAGATGAGCCACAGCGGTGGTACCGCTGCACTTGGTGTCCCGTCATTTCTACCCTGAAATGCCGTACCCTGGAACCCAGATGCGGTTCATCTCACGTTATGTAATTGTAAGGAAAATTCCTTTTCCTTACTTCGCGTCCCTGCTTACCGCGTACATAACCGTTCCCGCCATCAGCACCCATCCATGCACGTTACCCGTTCACGACATTCGCCTCGACCACGACTCCCGCCACTGTTCACGACGCGACCCAACCTAACGGTTCGGTTGGTAACCCGCGCTCCGGACCTCCGCCTCGACAATTATCCAAACCTCGGCGCTAGGCCCGTAGCGCACCTCAATTTCCCACTTTACCGTTACCACTGTAGTTTCGCTATATATTCTTCGCTCATGCCTTCGCTCATTGAACTCTTGCTTCGATGGTGCAATTCTCGCTCGTTCCCTCAATTGCACTCGTAACACTTGGTATTCAGAGCCTACGATCTCTTCTCGGACCGCACCCACACCTTCGCTTCCCCACTATCTCAAATCTTTGGGGGGGGTAGACGTCTCTCAGCGAACAAGCACCGCCGCTCGAAGTGCTCTCTCGAAAGCACGCACGGCCACGACCGAGGCTCTCGCTGAGCTTGCCCGACACCCCCGCCATGGCCGAATTTACTCTTGCGACACTGACGCAGGAGCAACTCGACCGTCTCGTGCGCCAAGTCGAGGATTCGGCGCTCGAAATTGCGACGCTCATGGCGGAACGTGACTCCGCGCGTCAGCAATCCACGGTGAATACTCCAGCACCACCACACGCACCTGCAAATGTACCCGCACAATCGGAGGAGCCGATCGTCATTTCATCCGGCACACCAACACAGAACGACGGCGTGGGACAGCGCTCAGGCGCAGCCAGTGATGGCGCCGCTCACTCGATGCCTGGCATGGAAAGGAACAGGGTCGCACCAAGCCCGCGGGAGCCTCGTGAAGCCCGTCGGCACGTGGAATTTGCGGCGACAAGTGGCGACCACGCCAGCATGGCACCAATGCCACTCAAGCCGCAGCGCCCGCCTTGCTTCGACCCGAGCCAACGTGGAGGTCCGACGGTTCAATCGTGGGTCTTCACGATGAACGTCTTCTTCGACGCGAACTACGTCGAGTCGGACGCAGCGAAGATCAGATACGGCGTCTCGCTGCTGAGGGGCCCCGCCATGGACTGGTGGCGAGTCATCGTGACGTCGCCACGCGCCTACGAGCCACCGTCGCAAGAGGAAGGGCCCACGGGCCCAGCTGTCACCTGGAGTTCATTCTGCGAAACCGCCCAATACAGCACATGGGATGCGTGGTGCGCAGGGCTTCGGGCGCGCTTCGAGCCGATCGCGGCTTCTATTTCGGCGCGTCAGAAACTGCGTACTTGGCGGCAGCTCGGATCGGTCCAAGACTACACGAGCGGTTTTCTCGCATTATGCGAGCAAGTTGGCTATATGCACGAAGCGGAGCGGGTGGACCGTTACGTCGGAGGGCTGAAGCCGGACATCTCGCACGAAATCATGCTACGCGGACTCTCGAATTTCAACGAGATTCTCGCGCTCGCCGAGAAAATCGACATTTTACGCCGTCCGAGACCGGGGTCCTACTACGGACATCGCCCTCGGGGACCAATCGAGCACGCCACTGTACACGCTGTTGCGACGAACGCAGCTGCCGCGCCGTTTAAGGGGCGCTGCTTCGCTTGCAATAGGCCGGGCCATCGTAAGAGTGAGTGCCCAGAGGAGCCGAGGCGCCGCGGAGCAGAGCAGGGGAGGGAGTCTCTAAGGCAGGGAAACGCCAGCAGTCAGTAGGAATCAGGCCAACTACTGACGAGACTGCCTACTCGCCCAACCACACCGACCCTCACCGAGTCACAGTACCGATTCACGCTATCGATCGGGCTCGGATGAATAAGGAGGGTACAGCGACGGATTGCCCAGTACTGATTCACGGAAAAATACAGGGAGCAGCAGTGAAGATTTTTATCGACGGAGGCGCAAGTCACAGCTTAGTTAATACCGCGACCGCACGAAAACTACAACTGACACTGAGTCGGTGTTTACCGGAGATAGACGCACGCTTAGTTGACGGCACACCACTGGCCATACGGGAAAAAGTGGAGAGAGTAAAGGTCCACTGCGGGGGGAACTTCGGTTTTACACAGGAAATGCTCGTGATGACACTGGATGGGCACGACATGTTACTGGGACGTGATTGGTTGCGAGGGTGTAACCCGCGAATTGACTGGACGACGGGTAGCTGCACTGTGCGAAGTAGCGGTAACTGGGTGTCGCTACCACGCTGGCAGTCGCCCGAGTCTTCAACGGTCCACGTCAACGCCATCACGATGAAACGGGCTGTCGTCGCTGGAGCTAACGTGTACGCAGTGGATATAGCGTTGATAGGAGAAGCAGAGCAGCCGAGTGATTTTCAGAAACTGCTGACAGCGGTACCGCCCGAACTGCAGGAGCTATTGAAACGGTACCCGGGGATTTTTCCCGACGACTTACCGGAGGGACTGCCACCTCAGCGAGCACACGACCACCGCATAGAGTTAGAACCCGGGGCACAGCCAACCGTACAGCGACAGTTCAGACTGACACAGCCCGAGCTCGGTGAGCTGAGGAAGCAGTTAGACTACCTGTTAGAGAAAAAAATAATCCGACCGAGCTCGTCACCGTTCGCCGCACCGATACTGTTCACACCGAAAAAAGACGGAGGGTTTCGCATGTGCATCGATTACAGAGCACTGAACCGGGTAACAGTCAAGTCGCGATACCCCATTCCCCGCGCTGACGAACTGATCGACCAGCTGCGAACAGCACGGGTTTTTTCGAAAATAGATTTACGGGGAGGTTACCATCAGATTCGAGTCGAACCATCAGACTGCGCCAAGACAGCATTTCGGACTAGGTACGGGTCATTCGAGTACACCGTGATGCCATTCGGGTTGACCAACGCACCGGCAACATTTCAGATGACCATGAACGAGGCGTTTAGGCCACTTTTAGATAAATGCGTGATAGTTTACCTCGACGACATCCTAGTCTACAGTCGTGATAAGCAGCAGCATTTAGCAGATCTGGAAGTCGTGTTTAAAGTTTTAGACGAGCACAGACTACTGACCAAGGGTTCCAAGTGCGAGTTTTTTCAGGACAGGTTAGAATTTTTAGGACACGTTATTTCGGAGGCTGGGGTTGAAATCGACCCAAAGAAGCTGGACACGGTCAAAGCGTGGCACCCCCCGACAAATATCACGGAGCTGCAGAGTTTTTTAGGGTTCGTTAATTACGTGCGTCGGTTCGTCCCCGACATGGCGCAATTAACAGCCCCACTGACGGATCTGCTGCGGAAGGGGGTCCCTTTTACATGGGGGGAGAAAGAGCATGCTGCCTTCTCTGCCCTGAAAACTGTTCTCTGTTCACCACCCGTACTGCGCATCGCTTGTCAAACATTATATGTTTATATTGTGTAGGCTATAGTGGGTTTAGCCTTAGGGGGTACAGCTTTGTTAGGGTTTCCTACTTGTATCCCCCTCCTACCTAGTTTCATGCATTCTCGTTCTATTCTAGATTCTAACATGGTATCACGAGCCTAGGTTGCTACCTAGGACCGCTTTCTACTATGGGCCCACTATTCCGCTAGAAGCGCCCTCGTGCGCCCTACCTTACGTGCGCCCTCGTGCGCCTTTCTCTGCTAGTGCGCCTTCGTGCGCCCTCGTGCGCCCTCGTGCGCCTTTCTCTGCTAGTGCGCCTTTGTGCGCCTTCGTGCGCCCTCGTGCGCCCTCGTGCGCCTTCGTGCGCCCTCGTGCGCCCTCGAGCGCCCTCGTGCGCCCTCGAGCCGCCCCTGCAGGTCCGTCAGGCCCCCGAGCCGCCTCTGCAGACCCGTCAGGCCCCCCCCGAGCCGCCTCTGCAGGCCCGTCAGGCCCGAGAGCCGCCCCTGCAGACTCGTCAGGCCCGCGCGCAGCCTCTGCCGACCGCGCGCCGCCCCTGCAGGCTCTCGCCGCCCGCCGCGTCGCCCTGCCCGCGGCGTCGCCGCCTGCCCACGGCGTCGTCACCTGCCCGCGACGTAGCCCCTGCCCGCGGCGTCGTCGCCTGCCCGCGGCGTCGTCGCCTGCCCGCGACGTAGCCCCTGCCCACGACGTCGTCGCCTACTCGCGGCGTCGTCGCCTGCCCGCGGCGTCGTCGCCTGCCCGCGGCGTCGTCACCTGCTCGCCGCGTCGCCCTGCCCGCGGCGTCGCCACCTGCTCGCGGCGTCGCCCTGCTCGCGGCGTCGTCACCTGCTCGCCGCGTCGCCCTGCTC